CCACCGACGAACGGAGACGGCGAATGAAGCAAAGAAAAAAGAAAGGAACTGCTGGTGGTGGAGAAACATAGAGTGAAACGAAATGGGGGGATGAAGTGGAGGTGAAAAGAAAAATAAATATAGGGAACGTAATAAGAAATAACTCGGCGTAGTGTGGAGGTGCATTAGCGAGAGCAGAATCCACAACAGCCTCTTCTGATGGGCTGTGATTTAGTTAATAGCCCAGACGCAAGTCTAAATGAAAAAAAAAAAGGGGGGACGAAGCAATTCGCCCTACGTGACACCCCTTCGCAGAACAACAACTTGAAAAAAAAAATGTACAAAGAATCTCTTATTGCTTTATTTATTTATTTTTTAACAGAAACTTCAAAAGATTCAAATTGCATTCATACAGACTACTTATCATGAAAACTTAATGGCGTAGGAATTCAAAGTTTTTTTTTTCAGTTTGTAGTTTGTACGATTCCAATATCTGACATTTATCATGAAAAATTTATAAGATTTTTGCTACTTTTTCATTGAAACAAAATAATTGTCAATAAAAATCGTTTCATATGAAAATTTAATTGTTCTTATTTAATATATTAGCAAATAAAACTAAGTTTTTTTTTCTCAAAATTGAAACAAATTTATTACATAAGCAATTGTAAATGCATATACTGGTGGTTATTCACTAAATAAAACACGTTTTTATGAAAAAAGAAACTAAGTTTTTCTTGAAATTATATGTAACAATTAGAAATGTGTTTAGTAATAATTCATTACAGAAAAGGCTTTCAAAGGCTTTGAAATTACATTGAATATTTTATCACTTTTAATTGTAAAACTTAATAATATTCAAATTTGTATGTACTTATTTAATAATAAAAAAAATATCTGAAAATAGAATTAAATTTTAAAATTTTACATAAAATCTGTAAAGTTAAATTGATAACGTTTCTCATAAACAATAATGATTTTAAATTATATTTAACATTTTTTCACATTTCTTAGAAAGAAAAAAAACAACATAATATTCCAAAAATTATTGGTTAACAAAAATTACTTCGAAATAAAAAAATATATTCTTATAGAATAACAAAAAAAACTAAAAGATATTTGTTTCGTAAACAATTAAAAAAATTATAAATTACAGTGGTACCTCGACATACGAGTTTAATTCGTTCAGTAACCTTGTTCGTATGTCAAATTGCTCGTATTTCAAAGCAATTTTGATAATGTTTTGTAAATGTACAAAAAGCAAAAAACGCGAACCCAACTTATCAAAAATGTTTCGAAAATGAGGGAAACAAGCACACAGACTGAGGTCTAGTTTTAAGTGGAAAACTCTGTTAGACGGCGGCTCGTATCTCAAAATACTCGTATATTAGTGCACTCGTATATCGAGGTACCACAGTATAAAGTAAGAAATTTGAAAAGCTTCAAACTGCATTTATATAGACTACCCATAAAGAGAACTTAATGATTCAACGAATTCATCTTGTCTGTGTTCTTTTTTTCTTTAATTTATTTATGTTTGCACAAAGTTTTTTATGCCAAGCTTTCACGATGCAATTTAGAGTCCGTCCATAAATATAAAATGAATTTTAACCATGCCCATAAACTATTAAACCTTCCTCAACTGCTTCCGCAGATGCAGGAAATTGAACGATACTTCAGTTCAAATTATCCTATTCAATTTTTTATTTTTTCATTATTTCTATAATTTTACAATAAAAAATCAATAGTTAAAATAAACTAAAATTTTAAAAGTTTTTTAAATTTATTTATAAATTTGTTTATTTTAAGACAATTTTATAATTGTAATAAAAATTAACTACTTTATTCCCCATATAGGAAAGAAATTACCACAAAACTTTGTAAAATTTTAAAAATTAATGAAAATTATAAATTTTTATTGAAAAACTACTTAATATTGTAAATGGAGACGAATACAAGTATTAATAAAATTGATTTCTTGGTTTCAAATACAAATTCGTAAATTTTTCTATAAAAGAAATGAAAAAATGTATTTCCCAAAATAAAGAAAGAAATTTCAATAAACATTTGGCAAATTCAATATCTCATTAATTTTTCATTAAAAAAACATGACAATATTCCCAATGGATTAAGAAAACAATTTTTAGTAAAAAAACATATTTCCTTATTTCACATACAAATTATTATACCGGTATCCTAAGTAGTTCCGTTTCAAAGGGTTGTTTGTAAGTCAAATTTGTTCGTAAGAAGGGGGAATTTTAAAAATTACAAAATATACTTATCTTACCACACTTTATCATGGTTTTTACTTGTATATATGTTAAACTGATTGCATAAATTTGAAAAATAGATTAAAATAAACTTAATTATTTAATAAAAAACGACATCTTCCAAAAATGTTATATTTTATTAAAGAAATTATCAATTTTTGTTTGGACAGTAAACTTTTTTATCACTATAAATGTTAGAGTTAGAGCTTTTAGAATATTGTTCGTAAGACTGGGAGTTTGTAAGTCGGGAGACCTTTATTATTGTTTAATTGTAGAAAACATGTTTTCTTGTTACAAAATAGGATAATTGTTAAATTGTAAATGTTATTCACGTGAATAGTAAACAACAAAATTAGTATTTACTAACGAAATTTCGAATTTTCTGCTATCGCTCGATGCAATTTGCATAATGGTGGATTCGATTCGAAATCAATTATTCGAATTATTAACGATTACGTAATGAACGGCCGCAGTCGCGATACGGATTTATGCAAATCATCGTGCAGCCACTTTATACAAAATTAGCATATATGTAAATAGAAGACGTCAGAAAAAAAAGCGCAGCAGTGTATTCACAAAAAAAAAGAAAGAAAATCCTCACAGCGGAGATTTTTCTCCCTTCTTCAAGGAATGAGGAAATTCGCGGAATTAATGAAAAATGCCACCTGAACAAATTACGAGACTTTACGGTCGACTTTAATTAAGAAATTCATATAAAGAAGTACAATTTCAAAATTTGCCCCAGGAAGTTTGTTGTTCAAATATTTGAGTTGTAATTTGCGAATAAATTGGAGTTTGTGCAAAACGCGTTATTATTAGATCAATTACATTTGATCTGCATATTATGACAATTGAATTGCGGATAAATGTGGTTTTTGGTGGTGGCGGGAAATTTGAATATGTTTAAACGCGCGATTACGGGAATTTAGTTGACTGCAAGAATCGTCAAAGTTTTGGTTATAAGCAAAGACGTTGTGCGTAAAGTGGAAAACTTCTGTTCAACTCATAACCGGTTCCTATTTTGACAATTACACGTAAATCGGAAAATTTAGATTTAATTGTAAATTGTTACATATTTACTCTTGGAGATTTATTCATGAATTATTAACATTTCAGAATTTGTACTTACTGTAGTTAAGCAACAAGTTTATTGAATATTACTTGAATTGGTGACTATAAACAAATTAACGATCAAATCATCATATAATAACAATTATAAATAAAGACTATTAACATTCTTGTACTTATTTTATTGTATACTAAAATTTAAAGTTTTATCGAATTTTTATGTTTTAATTACAAAGTTGATTTCCATAATTATTTTGCAAACTAATTGGATTAACCACAATCCGAAAATTCGAATTTGTATGTTAATATCACGATCGTGATAATATCACGTTTTATTCCTGTATTTCTGTATATATTTTACATATTTTTTTTAATATATTCATGCGACCGCTTTTATATTCATAATAAATGTTCACAATAAATCTCTGTTTATTTAACAAACTAATATAATTTACATTTTATTCGTTCACATTATGATCATTTAAAACAACTGTACGTTTCAGTTCTGAACTATATTTTCAGTACTTTTTTTTTATTATTGAAATTAAAGAATCGAAATGAAAAGTTTTGAATTCAATTTAATTAAACTATTATTCGTTGAATGTATTTGTTTTTCATTTTCATTTTTCGATAAATCTATGTAGATTACCTCAAAGTCTTGGAAAATCAATAAAAAAAAAATCTTTGTGAAAGATTCGCGTACAGTTTTATAAACATCAGTTTGAAACTTGATTTCATTATTAAATAATTTGTTTATAATAATTTAAGAATTATTTGTTTAATACTTTTTTTTATGTTTTATATTTGGTTTATTTTATTGATATATTTTTCATAATGGTTTTCAAATATATTTCTTAAATTACTGATATTTTTATTAATTTTCAAAGTAAATTACATAATTTTAACAGTTTCCTGTTGTTTAATGTGGAAAATACTTACAAAATAATTTTATTCAGAAATCAATGAATATTTTTTTAGAGAAATTCTTTATATTGGAGAAATAATTTGATGAAATATAAAAAGTTAAGACACATTTAAAATATTTTAGATAATAAAAAAGGGTTGAAATATTGTTTTGTATAAATGAAGATAATGATAAGTAAATTTAAGATTAAAAAAAATCATTAAAATTACTCTAAATTATGTAACTTTATTTACTTTTATGTATAATTGTATGAATTTTAAGAAAAAAATAATATTAAGTAAATAATGAAAATGTTTCATAATGAATGAGAAATGAGGCAATATTTGTAGATTAAATGGAGATAATTGTTCAACAACTTTATTTTGTTGAAATGTTTAAGGAACAAGTGTTAATTCCAAAGAGGTGAAGTTTGATTATAAAGAAGTAATTATATTGCGAAGTTTGTAGAATTAATTGATGTAATGAAGCAGAGATAATTATTTGAAGTTCATTTTATGGAATCTGAGAAGTGGAGTTGTTTAAGTAATAAGGATTAAGTATAAAGAGAAGATTTTTGAGGATGAACAAGAAGAAGGGATGTTGTTGCTATGATTATCCGGAAGTTGGAAGAAATGATGTAATGTGAGAGGAGGGATAATTATTTCCGGTTTCGTTTTTCGTTCAATTACGCGGAAAGTTTATGGTTGGTGATGGTGGTGGTGGGATGGCGTTTTCATTACTAAAAGGATGTGAAATTATGTTTAATTTAATGTTTCCAGGGATTCGAGCGGATGCGAGTCTCAACGACCTGGATATGCCGTCGTCTAATGGCCGCGTCCCGAGCTTCGTGACTCCGGGACAAACGTACCGGATCGCGACGGGGAGCACCGTCGTCTTGCCCTGTCGGATTACAGAACCAGGTAAAATGAGTTTAGAAAACCCCCCCTGTGTTAATTCAATTTCGTTGCTATTCGTGAACCTCCCTCAACGCTCTCTTTTTATTTGCAGGAAGCTACGTGTTGGCTTGGAAGAGAGGAATCGCAGTGCTCACAGCTGGACCCGTCAAGGTGACTCCCGATCCTAGGGTGAGTCTTCTGCCAGCTTCTCCGGGCACCTCCAGCCTTCCGGGCATTCCCGGATTCGCCGGAGGCAGCTACAGCCTCGAGCTGAAGAACGTCCGGCCCCACGATGCCGGGGATTACGTGTGTCAGATTGGAACGCTGGAGCCGAGGGAAATCACGCACACTCTCGAGATTTTGGGTACGTTCTTCTTTACGCCTTCTCTCTCTCTCTTTTTATTAATAATAACAATAATAACTTTGTACTACTACTACACAACCCCTATTCTCTGCTTTCCATCAGTGCCACCCAGAATCCATTACGTGTCGCACAATGGACCGCTCGACGTGCTCCAGGGTGCAACCGTGAAAATGGAGTGCCGGGCATCCGGAAATCCTGTCCCGACGGTCGCCTGGACCCGTAAAAACAACGTCCTCCCCAGCGGTGAACGCTCCGTTTCCGGTCTCTCCTTGGTCATCCAACACGCCGATCGACACTCCGCTGGACAGTACCAATGCTCCGCCGACAACGGAGTAGGACAACCGGACACCAAGCACATCACTCTCAACGTCTTATGTAAGTCCAATTTTATATTCCACATATACAAATGCTTTCAATTCACAACAAAATAGTAACTTATACTCACATCTCCTACAAAATCCCAATACAATTTTATAACTTCTAGCATTTGCTGAATAATTTACAATAATAATATAATATAAGACATAAAGCAAAAAATCTTGGTTCTAAGTAAATTGATACCAATAATATTGATAGTCTTATGCTATTATTACTTTATTATTTCTTCACTCATATTCTTTGTAGAAGTCCACTTAATATTTGTAAAATGTAATTGTTATTTTTTTTCTTACTTAGTTTAAATGTTCCCAAATTTGTTCCATTTTTTTCCAAAAATTTTCATCGAACACAAACGTTTTTTCTATTCCAAAATATTACATATACTATATGTTTTTATTATTATTGTTTAGTGTTTTTAGTTTTTTATTTGATTAGTATTCAACCTAATTAACTTATATAATATATTGGATATTTCTAAACTTCGATAAAACTACTTTAAAATAATGTGTCATAAAAGAAGCGTTACTATTGCTGATTTACAACAAAGGTTTATTAATCTTACAAAATATTTAAGAACTTAAAAACGGTTAAACAGAAACGTACAAAATTTCCAACAACTTTTTTCGAAGAATAAATTTATTTTTTTCTTTAAAATTTTAAATACATTGAAATTAAATACTTTGCTTATTCATGATTTCTTGTATTTTGATAATTCAACAAATTTCACTTCGGAAAACTATAAATCAACTATAAAATTATCAAATTATACAATTTTATTGAATTTCTTGATAAATTTTCATTTTTTATATTTAATTAAAAAAAAGAAAACGAACATTTCAAATCATCATCAATTAAGAAGATGAGCATTCAAAATCATCAATTGTTTCAGCTAATATTTGTTGAATTAATTGACAAATTTCAATTTTAACCTTTAGTTAAATAGAAAAAACGAGATTTCAAACTCATTGAGTTTTTGTTTGTTTCTTGTATAATTTGTTGAATTTATTCATAAATTAACAATCTTACTATAACACAAATTGTGAACGTAAAAACATGTATTATTTACTCAATTTATTGATAATTTAACTATTTTCACGTTAGTTAAATTAAGAAAGCGAAGATTCATTAAGTTTTTTAGAGAAAACGAGGATTCAAAATTATTATCATCATTTCTTTATAAATTTGTTCATAAATTAACAATCTTAACATTATATAAATTAAGAGTATAAAAAAATGTATTATTTACTCAATTTCTTGATAATTTAACCACTTTCACGTTAGTTTAATTAAGAAAACGTACATTCAAAATTATTAAGTTTTTTTTTTTGGTTTCTTGTATAATTTATTGAATTTATTGATAATTTTATATTATTATCTTTAATTATACAAAATCATTATCATTTCTTCAAAAAATGACAAATTTGATTTCAGTTAAATTAAGAAAAAGAGTATTCAAAATCATAAAGCTTTTCATCGTTTCAATTTATTCAATTTCTTTATAAATTAACAATCTTGACATTATTTAAAAAGAGGATTTAAAAACATGAATTATTTCATATATTATTTGCTGAATTTCTTGACAATTTAACGATTTTCGTGATAGTTAAATGAGTCAGGTTTTACATTGTTGTTGCTAATATATGTTGAATTCGTTGACAAATGTTTTCATCTTTAGTTAAATAAAAAAAATGAGATTTCCAAATCACTAAGTTTTTGTTGGTTTCTTGTATAATTTGTTAAATTTATTACATAAATTGAGAATATAAAAACATGATTTTTTTACTGAATTTCTTGAAAATTTAACCATTTGAATTTCTTTTGTATAAATGTATTTAATTATTAAAGTGTATAGAAAATGGCAATTACAAAATGTATTAAGAAATATGAAATTTATTGATAATTTTTTTTTTCCATAAACTGATTGAAACTGTTTCATCGAAATCTGCAGGTGCTGCAGGAAAAATATAGGTCATCCCTTAGATTCGTATTTCCTTTTTCTATATAGTTTTTTTTTGTGCAGCGTAAATAAAATACCATTTCGCAAGACCTGTCCGCAATGTACAGAATCAATATTTTTGCAATTTTTATGTTCCTATTAACCAGATGCACCGGAAGTGGAGACTGAACGAGGCACCGTCCACACAGGTATTGGCCTGGAAGCTCAATTAGTTTGCATTGTCCATGCAGAGCCGGCGCCTCAGGTAAATTCAATTTAAATTCAATAACAACAAACCTACTACACCCACACAAAACCCATCTTTCTCTCTCTCTCATCGCACCAAAGAATATGATTGGGTTATTTCTTCCACCATCAGTTTTTTATTTATGGTAGACTGAAATAAAACTTTGGTCCATCTCTAATCCTGATCCTGAAAACGTACAAAGAGAAAAAAACGACTGAAGATAAAAAAAATAAATAAATAAGGGAAGAATAAAATAAAATAAACTAAACAATGGGCCATATTTTTCTAAGAGCTTTCCCTACCTTTTGTTACGCCCAGGGCATAAATTCAAAAACGCTTTCTTCGGGCATAGATCAAGAGACCTCTGCGAAAAACCTCCACGTCTAAGAAAGAGAGAAAAGAAAAAACGGAATTAATTTTCTGGCGAAAAGAAGGAAAACTCGAATGGGATAAGAGCCATAACGTTGAAGTTTGTTTGAACTCTCCTCGTTCGTTTATTTTTTTATTTTTGTTGGAATTTTCCCGAAACACGGTGTTGTTTTGTACGTCGTAGAAGGAGGTCCATAATTGCTACATGCATACATTATATAATTGCACGTCAGTCAAATCGCGTGCGGCCGAGATCAGTCAAAAAAAAAAGTTATAATTTACAAACTATTATGTGCTGTTTCGAATTCCCAAGAACCGTTCCAAATGCATTTTTTATACGCCGAAAGCCTGTTAACCCATTTACTTAGTGCTTTTTTTACGTTTCTGCCCATTTACCAGGTCGCCGTAAAAATGATCGATGCAATTGCATAAGTCCATTAAATTTAATGCAAGAGCTTTTCAGTAATTGAACTTTAATTTTAAATCTAACAATTATTTTAAGTAGTATAGAATTTTCATGATTATATGTTTAAAGTAAATATATTCCACCTTGTTTTCATAAAAAAATAATAATATTTATACAACAAAATTATTTGAAAATTTTAATAAAATAGACTTCATTCATTCGAAATTTTTCAAAAAAATGTGAGAAATTTACTTTTTTTTGATAAACTACGGATATTCATTTCAAGTACGATTTCAATTCAGATTAGAACGTAATTATGAAATTAAAAATGTTCACTAATTAATAATACAAAATTATATAGAAGTTAACTTCATTCGAAATTTTCAAAAATTTATGAAAAAAATATACAAATATTAACTTTTTTTTATAAATGATGTAAGATTTTAACATAATTATGAAATTAAAAACTTTCCTCATATGAAAATTAATTTAAAATTTATGATTCATAATATTTATAATTACTTTTATATTAACTTCTTTCTCAATTCATTCATAAATCAAAAATTTAGGACAAAAATATATAGAAATTAACTTAATTTCTAAATTAATTTCACTTTAATATTTAAAGAAAGATTTGAAAGTGTTTATTAATGTTTTTTTGTACTATTTATGAATTTAATTAATAATTTGATTAATAATTGCGTAATAATTTTAATGGTTATTTATTGTTTTTAGAAAAGTAATTAGAATGTAAATTTTCTTTCATAATTACAGATCTACGCTTAGATTAGAACAAAGCTCTGGATTAATTATTTTTTAATCGTTTTCGTATTCAAAGTAACAAAAAATTAACTGAATTAAGAGTAAAAAAAATCTTTGATTAAAAAAAATGGAACGATGTAATTTATTTATATCCTAATGCAATTAACGCATGTCTGAAGCAAAACATAATCCATAACTTGTCTACTTTGTCATAATTACACTCTTATAATCTATAGTAAATGATTTATTAGGTATAATTATATTTTTTCTTCGAAAGGTTATTATAGAAAAAAATACTAAGTTTTGATACAAGGTAAATTTGGATGATTATTTATGATTTAAATAACGTTTTTGAGTCGAAAATAATTAGTAAATTACAGTTAGATCAATTAGTTTCTAAATAAATTGGATTGTCCGAAAACAGAAATTTTCTCAAATGTCAATTGTTCAAATATTATATTACAAGATGTATAACATCTAAAGTACTTGACAATTGTCAAATAAAGTGTAAAGTTTATTTACTTGTTGAAATACTCCAAATAGAAGCGTTACTTGACAAGTTACTTGTGCAAACTCATTATGCAATTTATGTTAAAAAAGAGTTAAATAATTCAATGAATCTATTAAAAAAATAGGCGAGATATGGAAATAATAAAGGCAGTTTCTTTTATAGTTTTTTTGTCGACGTTATTTCGAATAAATATTTTTTATATATTATCGTCTAGACGCGATTCGGAATTTTCTACACACATTTCTTATCTCTTTTACTACGTTTCATTCATATTTGTGAGTATTTCCGAGAAACGTTTTTTTGCTGCATTCCTATACACTCCTCGAATACAATTTTTTTTATATAAATTTACTATAAAGCATTTAAAATTCATTCAATAAATTTATAATTAATTTTAAATTTATTTACAATTTGCTTAAGTAAATTCAGTTAATTACCTCGGTTTTCGAACAAAATTCGTTTAGAAAGTACAAAAATAATATAAATTTAGTTAAATTACTCAATCTAAGTAGTTTTTTTAATAAGTATACATTATTGTCGTTACATAATTAGTTAACAAAATACAAAAAAAAAACTAAGCAATTAGACATAATATATAATATTTTGTATGAATAAAATTTAAGAAAATGCAACGAATATTGGATATTTCGAAAGTATGGGACTAACAAGATATTTTAACTTGAATGTAGTCATGATATCGATTTGCATTGAAGCGAGCTGGGAATTTTCATTAAAAGATAAAATGCTTTCATTACATTTCGGAGATATGAAACCGCTGTGTTGTGTATGAAGTGAAGCGCGTATCCGCAGAAATAATTTCGATTCGCACTTGGCGGGAGATTCGAATGGAAAGGTTTGCGGTAAAGCAGAGAGAGAGAGAGATATACATGCTCATAATTGCGCATTCCGTGAGTGCATTCCGTGCCGATTGTTGTGAAAACCGAAGGATGAAAGATTATTAATCCCCGCAGGTCCTATGGTTCAAAGACACGGCTCAATTAGGCACAACCGAGCAGCATGCTTCGCATTCCAGAGGCAACAGGTACACATTAGTCATTCGTAACGTAACAGCCGCAGATTTCGGAAACTACAGGTATGCAAAATCAATCGAAGCTTTCGAAATGAACGAATTATTTATATCAATTTGTGAACGATTCAGCTGCGTCGGTAGCAACGTCCACGGTAAGGCCAGAGGTCACGTCGTTCTCACCGGAGTTCCCGGATTGGCCGTCTTCGATTCATCAACTTTGAGCACGGAAAAAGACATCTACAACATCTCCTGGTCCGTGAACAGTCATGCTGCTGTTACCGAGTTCAGATTGTTCTACCGCCAACAAAGAACTCCTCACCATAGATCTCATCACTTCGAATCCAACAACACGATGAACATGGGTCACAGGAGCGAATGGAACAGTGTTGTTATTCCAGGATCGGGAGTAACGAATCCTTCGATGCAAGCGCCTCCACCGTTCCCAGGAGTCACCAAGCAGAAGATGTGGTACGTAATCAAAGGATTACAAGCAGCTTCCACCTACGAAGCCCGGGTGCAAGCAAAGAACTCGCACGGATGGAACAAGATGAGCCCGATCTTCCACTTCAACACCAGAGCCAACGGTAAGCATAACCTGAAGAAACTAACAAAAAGAATCAGAACCAAAAACTAAACAAATAACACTTAGAAATGGAAAACATGGTGGAGCCTTCGGCGCAACCCGCGGTTTACGGTAGCAGCCAGACAGGATTGTTCCCATTCAGCAGCTCCGCCAACTTGATCGCACCTTCTTACTACACCTTCACCATCATCGCAATAGCAGCAGCCGCAGTGTACTAAAACAAATACCAAAAAATCTAAAACATTTAAGTTACAAAACATAACTTAATTAATAACACAAAAAAAAACGCAACATCCAAATTTTTTTTGAAAAAAAACCAAAGAAATCTGAATGATTAAGTGTAAATAAAAATGTTCAGTTAAAAATCACTTTGTGATAAGGAATTTAAACATAAAAAAAATATAACTAAATCGAAAAAACAAAGAAAAAAAAAACTTGGGACTAAAATTAACTTCGTGTCGCATCGGTGTGTAGTATTTAACTAAGGTAATTCACAAGCAAAATAATAATAATATGTAATACAAAAAAAAATGATGTAAGAATAAATAAATGTTACGTTTAATAACATCGCGATAAATAATGAGCGTTATTTATCACGACTTTTATTAGATATATTATATATATATATATAAAAAGATGTACATGTAACGGCTCTTTTCTTGGTTTGTATTTTTATTTTGTTGTTGTTGTTGAGGAAAATTATACTTTTGCACGCGGATTTATTCCGACCCCTCACGAACTGTGCGAGTTTCTCTCATTCAGTTTTACTTATTTATGGTATTATATAGCACAGCGTTTCTCAACCGTCAGATTTTTAATGAATTACGAAATGACAACTGTCACTTTAAGCTAAATGACAGCTGTCACTTTATATCAAATGACAGTTGTCACTTTATGTCAAATGACAGCTGTCATCATAAACAATTGGGTCGCTGGTATAACTACAAACAAAACTATTGGATCGCGCGACAAAAAGTTTGAGAAACGCTGATATAACATACACTAACACACATTTTATATATGTACACACAGACACACTTTGATTTACCGTTTTGGTTTCACATTGTATAAGTATATTGACGTCTGTCATTACTGTCATCCATTACGTCATTGTCATTATCATCGTTCTCCCTTTGGACCCCGGGCTTTTTTCGAGCGCACCGTTTGTTTGTTTTTTAATTACTATACGTAACTTTTGTATATAAAGACTGAACTATTTTTATAAATAAAGAAGAACTAACATGATGTGCAATAAAGCGACCGACGCTGAAGACACAGGCCATTAACATGAGTAATTTAAGCGAATTACACTTTTGATCATACTAATATTATATTATATATTATATATGAAACAAAAATATATATATACATATATTAATAACGATTCAAGCATTTTGTTGTTTTAACTTTTAAGATGTATAAGAGATAATGTAAATAAAGCTTAAAATTAGAAGTAAAAAAAATCTTCTTTTTTTCCAATTTTGTATACCAAGAATTTTCTTATAATTAATTTAGAATCAATTGGAAAATAAGGTAAGCATTTTATTAATAATATGTTTTCTTTAAAATTAAACAAAGCATGTTTTTCTTCGAAATTTGCTTCAAATCAAATGGAAATTAAGGTAAGCGAACTGAAGCATTTATTTTTCAAATAATTTTAAACGTTTTGTTAAATTTAAAATTAATTTTGTAAAATTTAATAATTCCTAAAGTGATAAATCTTTTTCTTCAAATCTATCAGAAAAAGATTGTTAATTAATTGATATTATTGAGTGTACATTAATTACATATTATTTAATTAGTAGCATTTTTTAAATTAACGAATTAATTTCAATAAAACAGAAATTATATTTATCAAAATGATTTAATTAAATACAAAAATATAATTGATTTGTGATTAATTAATTGTAGAATGATTATATGAATTTGCTGTGGCAATATAATGTAAATAAAGCTTAAAATTAGAAGTAAAATTATTTTTTTTTTCAATTTTGTATACCAAGAATTTTCTTATAATTAATTTAGAATCAATTGGAAAAAAAGGTAAGCATTTTATTAATAATATGTTAAGTTTTCTTTAAAATTAAACAAAGCAGGTTTTTCTTCAAAATTTGCTTCAAATCAAATGGAAATTAAGGTAAGCGAACTGTTTCAAATAATTTTAAATGTTTTGTTAAATTTACAAATTAATTTTGTAAAATTTAATAATTCCTAAAGTGATAAATCATTTTCTTCAAATCGATCAGAAAAAAGTTGGTAATAAATTGGTATTATTGAGTTTACATTAATTATATATAATTAATTAGTAGCATTTTTTAAATTAACGAATTAATTTCAATAAAACAGAAATTATATTTATCAAAATGATTTAATTAAATACAAAAATATAATTGATTTGTGATTAATTAACTGTAGAATGATTATATGAATTTGCTGTGGCAATATAATGTAAATAAAGCTTAAAATTAGAAGTAAAAAATTTTTTTTTTCCAATTTTGTATACCAAGAATTTTCTTATAATTAATTTAGAATCAATTGGAAAATAAGGTAAGCATTTTATTAAAAAATTGTTAAGTTTTCTTTAAAATTAAACACAGCAGGGTTTTCTTCAAAATTTGCTTCAAATCAAATAGGAAATTAAGGTAAGCGAACTATTTCAAATAATTTTAAATGTTTTGTTAAATTTACAAATTAATTTTGTAAAACTTAATAATTCCTAAAGTGATAAATCATTTTTTTGAAATCGATCAGAAAAAAGTTGTTAATAAATTGATATTATTGAGTCTACATTAATTATATATAATTAATTAGTAGCATCTTACAAATTAACGAATTAATTTCAATTTATCAAAATTATTTAATTAAATACAGAAATATAATTGATTTGTGATTAATTAATTGTAGAATGATTATATGAATTTGCTGTGGCAAGAAAGTTGGATTATCAAGTTGGTATAACTTGTACTGATCTTAGTAAAGTATCAAGTTAATCAAGGATTATCTTGGATTATTTAGAAGCTTTTAGTAAATCTTTTAGCTTAATCATGGATATATACTCTAATTAATTCCTAAGTTCTTCAATGATGTAATTTTAGTCTAGTTGATATTTATTTAAAGTAACATTTGCAATAATAGTACGAATATTTATATACGTTATAAAATCGTCAATTTATTCACTAGTTTTAATCATTCCATATAAAACAAAAACTTCCTTTGATATTGAATAAATTACATAAAATTAAAAAGTTTGAAGATTTCTGGAATTAATTAAAAATTAATTAATATTTTATGATAGGAATTCGATGAAACTATCAAAATTTGCAAAAAAAAATCTGATTTAAGTTATTCATTTAAAAAATAGCTTAATATTAGAAGAACTTATAAAGTTTGACTAAATTAGAGGTTTATAATTGAAAAAAAGTTTAGAAATTTCTGAAGTTTTCAACAAGCAATGCTTTTTTTTGCCAATGACAACTAAAGTTTTCAATTGTTAATTGTATAACTAGGTTTTAATTGATTATTCTCTCATTGTTCTAAGAAAAAATAAGCACGAAGCAACGTTTAAGTACTTTGAAAGAGGATACATTTGATATAAAATTTCATACATTTTTCAATTAAAGAATAACAAGGTTTAAATTTTATATATTTGATGATTTTTCATATAAAAATTTGAAACTACTCTTCAGATTTAAATTATTCATTTAGTTTATTAACATTTAAAGAAACTTAAGTTGCTAAGAAACTTGACTAATTATTCTAATTAAAGTTAAATAATATTAATTTCCACTGATCTTATTTAACATTAAAACTAGAAAATAAACCAACGTTTCTATCTTCCTCTTTTTGAATGATTTTTGTTTGGCACACTGAGTGAGACGATGTTATTTTCTTCACTTTTTTCCCTCAATCTTCTTCACAGTATTCTCCCATGGTTCGAAGAAAAAACCAATACGAATCAACATACACAACTTAAGTTGTTACAAAACCTGATTAATTAGCCAAGAAAACTTATGTACTTTGAAAATAAATTTGTTATAAAATTTCATACATTTTTCAATTTATTAATAACAAGGTTTAAACTTTATTTAATTGATGCTTTGTCATATACAAAATTTTGAAATTATTCTTCATATTTAAATCATTAATTTAGATTTAAAGAAACTTAACTTCCTACGAAACTTGACTAATTGTTTTATATTCCTTTTTTTTGAATGATTTGTTTTTGGCACTCCTCCACCTTCTTTGCTGCATTCTCCCACTGTTCTAAGAAAAAAAAACAAGAAGGCAACAACACAACTTAAGTTGTTACAAAACCTCACTAATTGGTAGTTTATAAGAAGAAAACTTGGTTTAAATGTTATGTAATTGATGCTTCGTCATATACACATTTTGAAATTATTCATTTAGTTTATTAATATTTAAAGAATCTTAAGTTGCTAAGAAACTTGACTAATTCTTCTACATAAAGTTAAATAAGATCAATTCTCACTGACTTATTTAATAGCTTTAAAACTAGGAAGTTAACCAACGTTTTTATCTTCCTCTTTTTTTTGAATGATTTGTGTTTGGCACACAGTTGAGTGAGACGTTGTTATTTTCTTTACTTTTTCTCCTCAACTTTCTTCGCAGCATTCTCCCATTGTTCTAAGAAAAAACCAATACGAAGCAATAACACAACTTAAGTTTTTACAAAACCTCACTAATTAGTAGTTTATAACAAGAAAACTTGATTTAAAAGTTTAATTTTTATGTAATTGATGCTTCGTCATATAAAAATTTTGAAATTATTTATTTAGTTTATTAATATTTAAAGAATTTTCAGTTACTACTACTTGACTAATTCTTCTATTTAAAGTTAAATAAGTTCAATTTTCACTGATCTTATTTAATAGCTTTAAAACTAGTAAAGTAAACCAACGTTTCCATCTTCCTCTCTTTTGAATGATTTGTGTTTGGCACACAGCTGAATGAGACGTTTTCCTTTCTTTCTTCGCTGCATTCTCACATTGTTTTAAGAAAGAACAACACGAAGCAACGTACACTTGGAGAGGAGGAGGTTAAGGTAAAGTGGGATCCTCGCTTCACCACTACTTTATTTATTTTCCTTATTTTCTTCCTCTCCAGTTTTAGGTTACAACCCCCCAAAATTTATGGCCCGGCTCCCGCGAATTTATCGCCTTGCAAACACCCACGCTTTAATGAGCAGCAATCCCACTTAAAATTCCGTTCATCTGCAGCAACAGAAACCAAAAAAGAAAAAAAAGGAAAAGAAACAATTTTATTGAGTAGAGAAGATGAAGCGAGAAGAAAGGAAA